TTGTGTCATTTACATTTTATGCAGATTCACGGTCGGATTTACGTTGTTCCAAGACCATCCGGTTTTGTGCATCAACAATGGATCCAAAGTGAGCGTGCGGTGCAATGTGAACATACACATGAAGCCTGGCCTGGCCTGGCCCAGGTAAGTACTAACACTAGTGTAGCACATGATAAGCAAATAACGTAAATAAAATCATATAGCGGTAAATCGATAATTCACATCGACATAATACTATTCACGGCCATAAATATAATTAAGGCATCCTGTAATAATATGCATACATGTGCATCCCGTAAGATTATTCATAATTTTCCAACAATATGACATTTCCTTATAACCGTTAATTTAATTATGGCAATCACGTAGAAAATTCATTAATAAATATATATGTTGAAACTATCAAATATATATATACTATATAAAAAAAAAGACTCACTCACAGATACTTATGAGGTTGCAGCCGTTCGAACGAGTAAATACGGATCACTAATGTAAATTGTACCTAAGCACAATAGAGATCCATTAGTAAAACTCAATTAAAATGTTTGAATTTGGAGAAATGAACGGTGGATTAGAAATCAGCGGGTCGAAATACGCTAAGAATGGTCAAGGGTAATTTTCATAAAAAGTCAACAATCAACTCTAAAAAGTCAACCAAGATGCCCTAGTGGTCAATTATGTTAAAACTTTGGAATTTCACTGAATGTATGCCAAAAATGGACTCAAGAGTCAAGACATCGAAATTAGCCTAGGATGGTTTTCGATAAATTTTTTGAAAAAGTCAACACAAGGAATATTCTAGGAAATATTCCAAGAATATTTCATGATCCATTTCGAAATGGGCTGGGTCGGGTTAATAGACTAAAGGCTTGGGTCGGCCTATGGATCAGGTTTTTGGACCGGATTTAGGCTTAAGCCATTTTTTCTTTTTTTTTCTATAACGGGTCGGGTTGACCAGTTTAGGCTCCCAGATCGCTGGACCTAATGAAGAAGAAGATCAAATTTTGTGGAGGGAGGCCGGAAAACTTCAAACACCTACCACAAGTTCAAAACTCAATCATTCTCTACAATTCAAAAGGCAAAATGAAGCTTAGAGCATAAGGAACAAGAACCTACCTAAGTGGGGTTGAGCTGTGGCCGAAGTTGGTTGGGAAAAACCTGCAAAGGCTTCGGGTCAGCCGAAAAATCTGAGAATTGAAGGGCAAGGTTAAATCCGTCATTTTTTAGTTCGAAAACAACCCAAATAGTTAGGAAAAGTAACAAGAGACTGGAATAAATCTGATTCAATTGGAGTTTACCTTGATTTCGTTGATTTCAAAGCCGAACTCACCAGAGAGTAGGTTGGTAGTTACGGTGTGTTTGTAGAGAGAGAAAAGAGACGTGAGGGAGTCTGGGCTTTTCTCGTTTCGTAAAATTCATGGAGATGGTGAGGTTGTGACGATGGTGATGGTGGAGCTCGTCGTTCCGGCGAGGGTAGTGATGGTGGTCTCGGTGTTGCAGAAGAAGGACAGATGAGAGAGCAAGAGAAATGAGAGCTGGGAGAATGAGAGAGAGAGTCCAAGATTATGGTGGAGGAATTGCTATGTGGCAAGAAAAGAGTGGAGGGTTTGTGCTAAGTGGGCCCCATGCCAAAATAAGTTATTAAATATTAAATATTCACTCAAAAAATATATTAAAACAATATAAATAATATAAAATAATTTAGAAAACATTAAAATAATAATATAAAATAATTAAAATAGTAATTTCTTAAAAAAATGATCTTTCGGGTTCGTAAATCTGTAAAATCTTCATCGTAACTCTTAATTCGATTTCGTTTGCACCTACATGTTTGTATAGTCGATTACTTCGAGAATACGGTAAAATAATAGTTCAAATGCGTCACTAAATGACGGACAATAAAAGTCAATGTTCTTGCCTTTATGGGCATTTTCATCAATTCACTCTTTTAAATTTAATAAAATTGTAAAATTAAGGACATGTTGTTACAGGTTGTGTGTGAGTGGGCTTTTTCTTTTAAACTATATTCGAAATTGGTTTTATGTGATGCTTTTATATCATGCTTTGCTTTTACAGCTTATGCAAATGTTTTTTGAGATGTTGATGCTGTGATTTATGAGATTTGAGAACCTTTCTTTGGAAAGTTAAACAACCCTGCATTACTTTTGGTAATGCGATATTATGATTTGTGACACTGGTTATTTGAGGGATTATCCATGTATGTTTTCATATAATTTATCTACTCATCATGATTACACGGTGCCTAAAGGACTATCCAGTGCCAGGACCAACTTCACGTGTATGTCTATACTTGAACGTAGATTTATACACCTAACCTATTCATGTTACAATATTTCAGCATGAGCTTTGTGTGTACGCATTATCTGATAAGCATACCTTATCTGTTTTATTGATGATTTCTGACACACCCACTCTCTTCTATTTATAATCTCTTTGAGAAGTGATTTTGGAAGAGATAATGTCAAATTCATATATGAACTAAGAAAAATAATATGCAATGTATAATGAAGTGGAATTTTTCATGGTATTATTAACATGCATGTTATAAATTTAGTTGTTGATTTTGGCTTAGCATGAAGAATGGCGTGGAAAAAAAAAAAAAAAACTGAAAAACTAGAGATACTCTACTGTTTATGCAATGAGGGAAGGGAAGGAAGGGAAAAACAGTTAATTTAATGCTCCCTTTTCTCAATGACTCTTCACGTTTTCTGCAAGCTCAAATCTTATTTATGATTATAAGTTTGTAGTTATTTAGATTTTGAAGTTTTTATCTCTAATTTTGAAGATTTCAGTCTCTAAATCTTGTTTTTGTTGTAAGAGAATGCGATTTTGTTGATGCTACCTTTTGAGTATGATTCTTTGATAGGTGCTGTGATCCAGAATTTGTGTATCTTTTTGTGGAAATGATTCATAGCTGTTGTGGATTGCTGTTTCAAAACGAACAGTTTTTCTAGTTTCGTCTAAAGTTTAAGAATTATAAACAACGGTTGAAAATTCCACTTCAAGGTGGTTGACAAAATAATTTACACTTACAGTTACACGGTTCAATTCGTAATTACATTGAATCTTTTAGGATAAAACTTTACTCATGTTTGGCTATGGCTAGCATATAGTTAAGTTGGTGTTAGACTATTGGTTGTCTCTTAATTTGTGAATAATATCAATGTTAGACCATTGACCCCTTTCAATAAAACTTTGATTATAATACATATGATGTATTTTGACATACATTAAGAAGAGGTGAGTTAGTATTTAATCCCATAACCATACATTTGTATGCATCATTACATCCTTAACATACAGAACTCAAACATATCTAATGGCGAAAAGGTGTAACCCCCGTTGAGGGCAAAAAACTTCCACCAGTATAATAAGTTTGTCGTAAATTCTAAATACACACACCACTTCCTACAATCTCCCTTGGCTAAAATTCCATAAACAACCCTATACTATGCATGCCATAAGTAATGAGCACCTTCTTTGTTTAGGGGTGTGATATTCACACACTCCTTTTTACTTTTCACACTCCCTTCTAATTTTTGACCGTCGAATTGGATGAATTGAAGAAGATCAAATGACAGAAAATAACAAGAGGTGTGTGAGAAGTAAAAAGGGGTGTGTGGATAACATACCCTTTTTTTTATAGAGACTAATGATCATCTTGAAGAAATAGAAACTGCAGGCTCTTCTGCTATGGTCTATAGCAATGGCTTCCTTGACCTACTTATAGACAACCTATGCATAAACTCCAGTGCGGAGAAATCTTCGATGTCATCGAAATTCAGCTTCCGCATCACCGCCTCATTCTCCAAACTTTTCCCCCAACTCTTAATCCTCTTACCCTCGTTACCTTCATTACCAAACTTCGTGGACTGATGATGATCAGCTACCACATCCTCATGTTTCTCCCAGAAGCTCGCTTTCTTGCTAACCCAACTGCGGTGGTGCCAAACTATACTAGTTTGCATTAGGCAACTAGGATTCGTATGTGATGTGTTTAGCGCTAGCTTCACGTGTATGTAGTACTAAAACGTAGATTTATACACCCAACATGTTCATGTTAGTATACATCTTTGCATGAGCTTGTTTGTCTACATTATCTGATAAGCATAACCTTCTGTTTTATTGATGATTTCTGATACACCCACTCTCTTCTATTTATAATCTCTTTGAGAAGTGATTTTGATTGGTGGTTTTGGAAGAGATAATGTCAAATTTATATATGAACTAAGAAAATAATATGCATGTATAATGAAGTGGAATTTTTCATGGTATTATTCACATGCATGTTATAAATTTAGTTGTTGATTTTGGCTTGGCATGAAGAATGATGTGAAAAAAAAAAAAAAAAAAAAAAAAACTGAAAAACTAGAGCTACTCTACTGTTTATGCAGCGAGGGAAGGGAAAGAAAGGAAAAGCAGTTAATTTAGTGCTCCATTTTCTCGGTCACTCTCCACGTTTTTTGCAAGCTCAAATCTTATTTCTAATTATAAGTTTGTAGTGATTTAGATTTTGAAGTTTTTATCTCTAATTTTGAAGATTTCAGTCTTTAAATCATGTTTTTGTTGTAAGAGAGTGCCAGTTTGTTGCTGCTGCCTTCTGAGTATGATTCATTACTAGGTGCTATGATCCATAATTTGTGTATCTTTTTGTGGAAATGATTCATAGTTGTTGTGGATTGTTGTTTCAAAACGGGTAGTTTTACTAGTTTCGTCTAAAGTTTAAGAGCTATAAACAACGGTTGAAAATTCCACATCAAGGTGTTTGACAAAATAATTTACGCTTACAATTACATGGTTCAATTCGAAATTACATTGAATCTTTTAGGATAAACTTTACTCATGTTTGGCTACGGCTAGCATATAGTTAAGTTGGTGTTGGACTATTGGCCGTCTCTTAGTTTGTGAATAATATTAATGTTAGATCATTGACCTGTTTCAATAAAACTTTGAAAAGAACGCATGTGACGTATTCCGACGTACATTAAGAAGAGGCGAGTTAGTATTGAATCTCACCATATATTTGTATGCATCATTACATCCTTAACATACAGAACTCAAACCTATCTAATGGTGAAAAGGTGTAACCCCACATTGAGGGTAAAAAACTTCCACCAGTATAATAAGTTTGCAGTAAATAATAAATACACACACCACTTCCTACAATCTCCCTTGGCTAAAATTCCATAAACAACCCTATACTGTGCATGCCATAACTAATGATCACCATTTTTTTATGGAGACTAATGATTACCTTTTCTTTTCTGGAGACCAATGATCACCTTGAAGAAACAGAAACTGCAGGCTCTTCTGCTATGGTATCCAGCAATGGCTTCTTTGACCTACTCATAGACAACCTGTGCATAAACTCCGGCGCCGAGAAATCTTCGATGTCATCCAAGTTAAGCTTTGGCGCCGCCGCCTCATGCTCCAAACTTTTCCCCCAACTCTTAATCCTTTTACACTCATCGCCTTCATTACCAAACTTCATGGATTGACGATGATCAGCCCGCCGCACCCTCACGTTTCTCCCGGAAGCTCGCTTGCTTGCTGACCCAGCTGCGGCGGTGAGGAACAGTGGCCCCATATCAGCTGTTGTGACAGTGGAGTTGAGCCTCTTCATGGGGAACATGACGTAAACGTTGCCGATATCCAACTCTTCGTCGGCACTGAGATGCGAAAATCTTCTTCCCACATGGAGAGACTTGATGTTTACGAGGAAGAAGTTTGGGGTGTCGACCATCAGCTCGGCGGCTTTTATGGGGACATTGAATTGTTTGATTTCACCGCTTGGGACGATCACTTTAGTGGCTGCTGCTTTCCCATGCTTGCTCAATATTTGGGTTGCTAGGCTACAAGAAATGTAGTTGCCCATGTTGCCGAGAGAGAGAGAGGTATACGAGATGAGATGAAACTTTTGGTCTTGGAAGTTTGAGGGAGTTGAAGATTTATACAAGGGAATTGATGAAGACGTCTCTCAACTAAAAATATGAATAAAAGCATTTACTTTTGCATCCAAACCCGAAGTATTATGTTCGATTCTCCTTCCTCGCTATTGTTTGTATAAAAACCTATGAAAAAGGATTGAAGATTCTGAAATAAGCTAAAAATAGAGCCAGTTGTGATGTATCTGGGTTTGACATATTGTTGGTGGAGTCCGCGTTGGGCCAAAAGAGAAGAAAAAAGAAAGAAAAAGAAAACAAGAAAATGTATTGGAAGGTACGTTACTGCATTTCAGGTTGGTTTTCTTATAATTTCTTAATTAATTAACAAAATGTTGATGCATATAATATCATCAATGAACAAATATACTCTGTTAGATAACGCGTGGGACCTTTCTTCATTGTCATTGACTTATTCATTTTTAGTTTTTGAAATGGGATTAGGAACTTATCTGAAACAATAATGTTACTTGTAGTTTATAGATCTGTGGCGCTATTCACACTTTTTTTTTTTACCTCCAACACATTTTATGCTGATTTGTGTTATTTGATTTTCTTTAGTTCAATTGATCCGACGACCAAAAATTGAGAAGGATGTGTACGAGGTAAAACAGAGTGTCTGTTTAGTACCACCCTTTATAGATATGTGGATGATCTTTGTTATTGTATGTAGGATTGACTTGTATTAAAGAGTACTACTCTATCTACAAATTATTAGTTCTTCTAATACTATTGTGCTAAGTCGTTACATTCAAACACTAAACGTCTCATGTGCCAATATACATACCAGGGTTTTTTTTTTTTTTTTTTTTTTGACAAGAAGCGATAGAGTGGTATCGTCACAAGTAAATACAGAGGTCACACCAAATGGGTACATTGCTCCACTGACTAATTAAGAAGTTGATCTGAAGTGAATATGCACAATCAAATAAATTAGAGTAAACCCATATACAACTATCAAAACACAAATCCACAAATGCCACCAACACATGTGTGACAAAAAAAAAAACAGTAGACGCAATTAAAATATCTTGTTGGTTAGGAGTCATAGTAATACAATGAAATCCGTAGTATATTCATAGTATCTTGTTGGGTAGGAGTCATAGTAATACAATGAAATCTGTAGTATATTCAGAGGTGAATGAAGAAACAATGTCGCATCATTTGGAGGCCAATATTCCTTCCGTGTATCCCTCCCCTATATTTCTACATCTCTCGTCCATGAATTATGGATGTAATTCAATGAAAGATACATATGAATGTGAAGTTTGGGAACCAAATAAACACTTGTGACTTGTATATAATTTACGTGTGAATTAACAGGAAAGCATGTGAGTCACCTTTTGAGATATATGCATGAATGAATAGTGGGGTTTGCGTAATCACCACAGGTGACTCAGTGGTTGAGACGAATTTTAGGTCTGTATTCCCCACGGTATATATTATGAGTTAAATTCTTGACGCTGATAAATTGCACAATGGTGATCAGAGGAAGGCTGAAATGTCTATGAGTCTTTTTGATTTCCCAAAAATATGGATTGTCGTGACGAAACCATCAGCTAATCCATTTTTTAAGGAAAAAAAAATAGTAGAGTTTGCGTGACAAGTTAGGTTCAGGTTTTGCATTTTTATTTTTTTGTCGGTGGCGGTAGCGCGCGGTTGAACGAGTCAGCGGTGCCTGCTTGCTGCCTGCTGCTTGCTGCGTCACGGGATCGTTGGTGTCACATTTTCAAGTATCTTTCACACAATTCTCCCACTCCCACTCACTCTCCCCATTTATTTATTCTATGCCTATTACAATATATTTATACTATATTAACACAATACTATTGTTATTATTTTTTTAGTAAAGTAAAAATATTCTCCCACTCACTGTCCCATTTATTTATTCCATGCCAATTACAATATATTTATACTATATTAATACAATACTACAGTTATTATTTTTTTAGTAAAGTAAAATTGTTAAATATTTAATTAGTAAGGGAAAAAAAATTTGGTAGAGATCGTACCTAGGCATAATTATTTAATACTACTGCGATAAAATATTAACTGCAATATTAATTTGGGCCTTATAAAAGTCGAATTCCTTAACATAGCTTTGTGTTTAATCTAATAACATGGCTCGTTTGGAAGTGCTTTAAAATGACTGAAAATGTTTTTGATGCAAATGTTTCTGAATTTCAAAAGCACTCGAGGCACTTTTTTCAGGAAACACCAGTTATATGTTTCTTGCAGGAATCACTTCAAGTATTTTTCCAGAATTTAGTTGTATTTTACTAAAGATTGGTTCCAAAAACACTCATATCAAAACCGTTTCCAGTCATTCTAAAAATACTTCCAAACGAGCCGATAAGAGAGTTGTCATTTAAAACATATGCCACATAGATATATAAAAGGTTTTGCTATTGTCTTGGTTTTACCCTCTTACCACTAGGTCCCAAACAGTAGCCTCCAATTCCTCTCAATCCCATAATTCAGTGCAACTGTAAATGATAGAACAAGAAAACCGTGCGTTTCAAAATGATATTTTTGTTTTTTTGGTTTTGTGAGTTTGAATTTGCAAACATCGTTAAGGTCGTGTAGATTTTTGGATACAAGTTGTTTGGTTAGTTGAGTGAAACAAATGCTATATATTGAACCTATTATGTATATATAATCTTTTCTGAAAATATGATTTTAACCCTTGAAACTTAAGTTTCTTTACATAAAATCAGACATAGTCTTTTTACTTGAATAAAACCCAATGACTAGGCTCCATATAAGCAAATTCATTAATTATGTTTGACTTTACACATTTTACATTTTCCAGATGCCTAAAATACAACTAATTACAATTTTAATGTATACATTTAATTCTATGCAGATTTGAAAGGAGGGATTAATGAAAAAAATGTATTAATGTTTAAATTCATTGCATATTAATATATCATAACAAATTGTATGTTAATGCTTCTGGGAAAAAATAAAAAAAATAAAAAACATTAATGTTATACTATCCTTTAGATTTCGTAATTATTTTCCAAATTTGCATAAAATTAGACGATTTCAATTTAATCTTGTCATTTTCTTACCAAATGGAAATTGAAAGGGAACTATGGAGTAATTTACGTAAAAACATATTGTTGACCCTAGAAATTACAAAGCCTACGTGGCGCGCAGGCCGAATATATTCTAAGCTAACTACGTCCTTCGGTGATTGCAGGGCGTGCCAACTCGTCGGCCGAGGCTTGGCCGAGGAGTAAATTTGATGATGCTGCGTTGGGTCGCGCTACTGACTTCTGCGTCTTGCGATTGCGGCCGAGAAAGGAACGCGTCTCGGCCTCTTGGGTTCTCGAGCCTGAAGACAAGGCTGCTATTTCTTACAAAGTTCACGAACCGAATTCGGCTTACAATGTGCCGAATGTAATAACTGTAACACCTCACCTCGCCGAGAAGGCTAATGAGATGACCTCGACCAACAAGGATTCGAAAACCCTTCTCGACCGAGACTTGGATAGGCAATCGACCGTTCTCGCCGCAGTGCTGTTGATGCCAACGGAAGATACTGCGAGACCGACCGACTCTACGATGACAGAGCTATCTATGCCGACTTAAGATATCACCGGTTGCTTCCACAGTGCTGTTGATGCCAACGGAAGATGTGTCAGCGAAAAAGGAAAAGAAAAAAGATCTCAAGTTGTGAGAGTTTGCGCAGGGCAATTTTTGTGTCGATTTGCAGGAGGCCTTTTCCATTGCTGAATGTCTTGTATTTATAGTAGCAGAACACCGAGCCCGAGTTCCAATCCTATTCGAACTAGGTTTCCCTCTCCGGATTAACATTACCTCGATCAGTCCTATCTCTGCTAGGACTACGAATCTAGTCCTTAACTGAGCCGGATTCGCCTTCTAGTTTTACTGATCTCGTCGAGGGTCCCTATTGTATTAGGACTCGACTTGCACTCTGATTTAACCGACCTAGGCCTAGAAGCCCATGAGCTGAACGCCCCATGACCCTCTCGCCGTACGTCTTCCCGGGCCGAAAGTGATTCCTCCCTCGGCCCAAACTGTTATTTTGGGCCCAAACATTGCCCCCTCGCTTCTGAGGTCCTCGGCCTAAAACCTTCGGCCGAGTTTCGGCCTTGAAGAAGCGAATCTACCACTCAGGATCCCAATACCCGAGTTCCAAGGCGCATTTATTGAACACGATCGCACGATCTTGATCCTGCTAAACCACTCGCCACGTGGCCTCCTCCAACATGGCCAATCCCCGATAATGACGTCTGAAGCGTGCGCCTGCCCGAACCGTCTTGCCATTATGACCACTATCTCAATCCGCGAGCCATTACATCAGTCCGTGAGCCCACCTGTCATCGTGCAGACGTCGAACCGTCTTTCGTCATTAACTTCGCCATCACACGCGATCGTGCGCCCCCAAAACCTAAAACCGTCGGTCTTCTCAACCGCATTTCCCAAATGTTCATCATGATCAACGATTCCTCCGGTCGATTTTGCCCTTTGTTTTGAATTTCGAACGATTGCTCTTCCCCCCCATAACTCTATAAATACCGAAATTCCCTCATTTGTACTTTTACGCTCTCAAACTTCCTGAAATCCTCTGCCATTGATTTCTAGTGCATTTCTCCTATTCCAAGTCTTCGTTTTTAAATCCCCAACCCAGACAACCCTTTTACTCCGTGCCTCTTTCACACAATGGCATCCTTCATATCCAAGCTTTCCAGGGAATGTGACCAACACCAGAAGATTGTTGATCGGAGCTCGATCAAGACCATCCGGTTTGAAAACAACGACATGAGCACCCCCCAATACCAAATCCTGGGTCCTCTCTTCAAGGCTACAATTCCGCCGACTATCATCGGCCTTCTCCAGGAGCACTGCCTAACACCCTTACTTCAAGGGTTTGAATGGTCGCGATGGGGATGCGGCTAAACCCCAGGGCTCCTGGCCCTCGACGACCACATCCTGGGCAGCCTGGGTCGTTTGAATGGAACGACTCTTCGGCGAGCAATGGAAGGCCCTTGGCATCTACGACGCCATTCTCCTTTCGTCTATGGAAATTGTCCCCGACAAGGAGCTTCTCCAAGCCGCTCTGTGCTTCTGGTGCTCGGCCACCAACACGATGGTCCTTCATCTGGGTCCCATTGGTCCCACCGTCCTGGATATCACTGCCATTCTGGGGACTTCGGCGACCGGGATCCCTGTCGACGCGACCCTCTCTGGGCATCCGTCGAATATCGACCTGAAAACGCTCTTCGACCGTCGGGCCTTCGAGACCTTGAA